CTTACACCATATGACCAACCTTACACCATGTGACCAACCTTACACCATGTGACCAACTTTACACCATATGACCGACCTTACATCATGTGACCAACTTTACACCATATGACCAACCTTACACCATGTGACCAACCTTACACCATATGACCAATCTTACACCATATGACCAATCTTACACCATATGACCTACCTTACACCATATGACCAACCTTACACCATGTGACCAACCTAACACCATATGACCAACCTTACACCATGTGACCAACCTTATACCATCTGACCAACCTTTCACCATGTGACCACCTTACACCATGTGACCAACTTTACACCATATGACCGACCTTATAGCATGTGACCAACTCCACACCATATGACCAACCTTACAGCATGTGACCAACCTTACACCATATGATAACCTTACACCATATGACCAACTTTATACCATATGACCAACCTTAACACCATGTGACCAACCTTACACCATATTACCAACCTTACACAATATGACCAACCTTACACCATATGACCAATCTTACACCATATGAACAACCTTACACCATGTGACCAACCTTACACCATGTGACCATCCTTACACCATGTGACCAATAATAAGACTTCTTCACTCTCACGTTCATGTAGTATTGCAGTTTGCTTTTCAGCTTGACGTTGATATTTTATTTTTAATTTCATCAACCTTTCGTTTCATTCTTCAATATGTAGCTTTGTTTGTTTTATTTTAAGGTAAACAATTGTAATATTGGTCCTGCTCAAAAAGTGAAGAAGTGATTTCTCAAGGCTAACTTTGTAGATAAATAAAAATTATTTGCGCGGATTTGCGTTGCAGTTTTATTGATGTATATCATTAGAATGATAATATAAGAATTTGAGAACTACTTCTTCATAGGAATAATAGCGTTATAAAGTATTAAATGATAATTCAATGTGCACAAGACAATGTCTCAGTTCATATAACGCTACATTCTGGGTCTCATATAAACTTATATTGCTGGCGGTGAAAAATTGATATGAGTAGTTTAGCACCTTTGTTATAACATCAGACTAGCACGCTAGTAGCAAAGATTAAAACAGTTTGAAATGTTCTTGTTGAATGAATATGTTACATTTAAGAAATAGAAAAACATTTCCAATATTCTGTAGAGTTATATAAACACGCGTTGCAGGTTACTGTTGCAGGTTCGCTACCTGCAACAGTAATATTATGTACGAGTAATATTTTATAAATGTTAAATAATTATGCTTTGCTGTTTCCATTAGCCATTAATTAGATCATGCTAAAATGTTCAAAGTGGAAGTTATTATATGATACATTGTACTGTAAAGCACCTTGTGAATCAACCATATTCAATGTTTTAAACATCCATGATTCTGCTGAAATTACAATCGAATACGAAATACTCTAAAAAAGAGAATTTACAAGTCCGAAATGAGTATTAGACTATGGAAATGCTTTAAACTTGCAAAATTATTCACTTCTATTCATTTGGATGCTTATTTGGGGAATAAAATTATTTTCAACTTACAAACAGTAAAAGAATAGACTGGCTTGCTACATTTCACATCCAATTGAAATCATTGAATCATATCAAATGAAGATAAGTATAGTCAAACAACGTAGTATAGCTATCTATACTACAATTACTAATATTAAAATAATTAAATGACTATTGCATGGAAAATTTTTACAGAAATGAGCAGCTAGTGTATAACACAAGTTAAAGTGGATGTAAAATCAATAAACTCACCTAAGAAAATCTAAAGCTTTAGACATGACGTTTTCGAATTCGGCAAAAGATAGTTGATCGTCTCCATCTAAATCTGCTTCATGTAATATCTAAATAACAATATGGTAAATAAGTATAAGACAGCTATTTTTCTCATAACTGCTTGAAACTTTCAGCTGTGTAATCATAGTAATATAATAACAAAACAATATGGTGTGCATATTTTTAATGATTTTATGCAATTCTTTCAATACATAATGAAACATGAAAAAATCTTTACTTTGAGAAGTGCACATCTCTCCTAACCTCGTCTTTTTACTTAGTTTGTATGCATGGTAAGGACAACACACAGGGACGGGTTTAGGAGAGAACACACTTTCCTACCCTCGTCTTTTTACTTAGTTTGTATGCATGGTAAGGACAACACACAGGGAAGAGTTTAGGAGAGAAGTGCACACCTTTCCTAACCTCGTCTTTTTATTTAGTTTGTATGTATGGCAAGGACAACACATAGGGACGGGTTTAGGATACTGTTGGATTCAATTTGGCGAGACTACAGTTTATTCAAAGACAGCTTGAGAATCGTGACGTCACATTCTTTGGCGAGACACGCGAGAGACTGGGACAAATACGAAAAAAGAAGACAATTGTGAGGAAATTTCGATGAAGGTTATTTTGTTGTTGATACTTTGACAATTAAAACGATTGTCTTCAAAAGTACACAATGGCTTCGGTTGATTTCTGTCTATAGCCATCTTCGAAGATCCCTAACCCAAACTGTACCCCTAGAGGGACAAGGAAAATCCCCGTGTGCCCTTTAAATTACAATTTTCGTGATCAGCAGACGTTTAAATTTTGCATGATTCAGCAGTTATTGATACTGGGTCAGCCTTAAAAGCTAAAGAAAAGAATTTCGATCTTGGTATTTTAATAACTAAATAATGGGCTAGCCAGACAAAGACAATCGGAGTCTTTTACTTCTATGACATTGAAATACATTTTTTTGCGTCTAATCCTAGCTCCCAGCTACATAAATAATCTTACTGCAAACTGATTTCAGAAAAGTTAAATTTAAATGAAAGTGAGATCATCAAATTCAACATCACAACTATCGGTGAATACCTCCATCGAATGAAAATATAGAATTAAAATAAGTTATTACAATACGTAGGGGAGTAATTCCAACTATAAACAAGAAGAAATAATGAATCGATTAACAATTATCAAGCAATTAACCCATCTACAAAACATATAAACAAAAAATGTATTTTATGAGTTACCAAAATGAATACAGAAAAAAACTGCATCCTCATATGACAAAGTAGTCTTCTGGTCATTTCAGCATTCAACAAAAGTGATGTAAAATTGTCATGGTTCTTCTAAGATATGGATTTATTTTCATGAAAATGACCCAACAAACACTTCACTCATTTTAAGGAGCTTTACAACTTCAAAGTAGATAGATTGCAAACGTAATAATCTCATATACACTGTAAAAGTTCCATACAAGTTTCTTAGCTAACAAAAAAAAAACTGTTCCAGTAACTAAATGACTATTGAAAACTTGAAAATACAAATGTTTGTATTGAATATTATCAAGAATATATTTAAACTTTTTTATATACAACTGTTGTTGTTAGGACTTTAGTGTAAATTTTTTCTTTAATTCACGGACTCCAAAAATCTTGTAGAAATGTAGAGGAGAGTACCAGGAACACGTAGATACCAAAGATAGATAATCCACGATAGATTTAAGAGCTAAAATTTTCGAACGAAGACGAGCGCGTGATAAACAAAACAACCGCCGATCGCACCAATTTATAAACTTTGATTTCTCGGCGAAAAAAGGACCAATTTCAGCCAATAAACTCTTGAAATGATCGCTAGACTTTTAGCTACAAGATTATACCATAAAGTAAGGCCAATGAACAATTTTGAAGGAAGAAGATCAAAATTTCGAAGAGCACCGCCGGAAAATTCAATGGCCTTGCATTTTTGACCTTACTGTGGCAAGATATCAGGCCGTGTAATTTAAGTAGGCCATGAAAGCTTCAATGTTAATTTCTTTAGTATTGCTCGTTCATAACAATCTTTTGCTTTTTGTACTCTCCCATATCACTGTAAACCAAACCAAATGTTATCATTCGACAATTGTATATCATATTGCTTTTGGTTGCCGTATTGGAGCAAATAAGCGAAAAGCAATATGATATACATATATGTATATCATATTGCTCTTCGCTTATTTGCTTATTAAGCTTCAATGTGTCTGCGTCGTAGCGAAACGTTTCCTCCGTAATTTGCTGCTTGAAACGCGTCAATTTGGGCTGAAAAAAAATCCATGGATGGTTATTCGCCTCTTCCTCGATGACGAAAAAACGGAAACTTTTCGTAATGGCCAATGAACGGCGAGCAGATCTGGACATGAGAACGCCCGCCGTTAGCAGGCTGTTTTGGTTACACCAAAAACCAATTTTGGTTACTCAAAAACCACAGTAACGAGTTTTACGCTAATTTTACATAGAGATTTCAGACCTATTACCTCTAAATTTCTAATAGGTATTTAGTACCTAGATCATGTTGAAAAGAAACCAAAACCAAAATTTCATTGAAACCAATTCAAAGCAAACATACTGAGCTATAAAAACATTGCTGTAGTGTAGTTCAACAACGTACATGTCTACACCACTGAATTAAATATATCAATCGTATAATTCTATTGCACGTGTAAGCCACGTGTTACCACAAAATCTCTCGCAAAAAATCGCGTCAGGTTACGGCAAAAGTTCCTTTGCGGTAACGCAGCGGTAATATGGGTTTTTTTACCACAATCTGGAAAGCCAGGTCAGCACACCGCAGTATTTAGACAACATGACACAGGAAGAAGCATGCCATTATTAGAGATGTACGTTTGCAGAAGAAACAGCTCAATTTTTTTCTTATTATTTTAACCTAATATGTAATTGATATAATCAGGTGTAGACATTCCTAAAAAGCTGGTTTGAGGACGAACTAGAATTCCAGTGCACGCAGCATGGCTTTTGATCGCGTCAAACCGTCCACTCGCGTAAGTACAATGTAATTGCAATATTGACAAACCGTTAAATGACCTCGAACATCCAACGACAATCTACCACCGCTCAACTGCAGCTCGTGATCATTGCCACAGGCGTTTTCAGCTGAGCTCGGGATCAACTTTAATTTACGTAAAGTAAAGTTGATCCCGAGCTCAGCTGAAATTAACGAAAGGTGGTAAAAGTCTTGCTTTGCAAGCACTTTCTAAAAATTCCAACGAAAGAACGAAAACCTTCTTGATTCATACGATAAAAGCCTGCAATACAGTAAAAGATAAGAATATTGATCAACTGTGCAAAACCTCCAACTGCTCTTTCTCTCTTGATGTTGCTGTGTACTCCAGATCTAAGATATCAAACTTCGGTCAGTCGATATATTTTGTCAGAAGAAAATAAGTACTATACACTACCCTTAGCCTTCGCATAATTTACAAATGGACTTATACATGGACGCTAATATAGCGGGGGAGGGGGTGAGGCAGAAGTATTGCATGGACTATATTATACGTACGTACGTACTGAAGTGATCTATAAACATTACACAAGTAAATGTGCTTATCTACGGGTCAGCGTATAAGCGGTAGGGTTTTCTGTGAAAGTGAGTTGAGTTTCACGATTTGGGTGACCTAACTGGACATACTCAGGATAGGGCTTGTACATGGGAGGGGTAGTTCACCCTACGCAAGTGTAAGAGGATGCCTCAAGACACCACACTGCACTTACTGAGATCATTCAATTCTTCTTCGTTCTGAATTTTTCTTTCCTCAAGTTTGAGACGATGCTTCTCGAGATCAGTGATGTAGGTGTCGAATTTAGTCCTAAGAATCGACAACATCCCCAGTACATGTTTCCACAAATTAATACAACGTAGATGGTGGAAGCAAGATCACGGTAAATCTTCTCTTACTTGTCGAGCTCTAGTGTTCTCTTTTGTTCCACTAATGCTTCAAGCTTTGACTAGGTTAAGTATGAATATGTTAAGACTGTTAGCTACACATCTATCAACTGTGAAAAGATGGAGATAAAAGGGAGGTAAAAAGGGGGAGGGTAATTTCAAAGATAATATGAAATACAAAAGTATGTATTTATAAAAGTGGAAGCGACCCACACCCCACCCCACCCCCTACCAAAAAGGATGAATGATAAATTTCAAACACGTAGCTCACTTTAACAAGATGCACCTTTAAAGGGATGAACGTGTATGGGAACATTTGTGGAAAATCCTTTAAATTAATTTTGCACAAATGAAGCTCCGTGCAAGAAAAATCACAGTACGAGTTTTGGCCAAATAATCTGAATGAAAATCGGAAAACCGAGCCATTCCTAGGATCGAGCCAAATTATGTCATAAATTATGTCACAGTAATTTTTCACAGTGATGGAGCTTCACCAGTGGCCAAAGTTTTGGCTCTGAACAATTTATATGAGCGATTTTCCAAAATGTTCACACATGTACGTAAAAGTACCCAACCGTTTGCGATTATTTTGCTCACACTCACATTTAGAAATAAGCAATTTGAAGTTCTCAAAATTTCACGACACAATATCTTTCCTACCGGTTCACTTTCAAGTCTCGCCAGTTCTTCCTCCAGTAGCTTGTTTTCGTGACTCAGCTCTTCGTTTTCTGGAATATGAAAATCATAAAATTGTACATTACAAAGTGACGATGCACATAATTTTTCAACAATACACATTTACCAGCAATAAGTGGAGCATTCTTGTTTCCTACATTAATAGAAACAGATACATGCATAAATCTTGTAGGTCACTACCAAAGGTTACAGGAATTGATGCAATGACAACTTCACTCACTCAGTTCTTCATATAGTGTTTCTGTGTACTCATCCAAATTATCTAAGTCTTGACCGTAAATAAACGCTTCGTACGCTTTCTCAATACATAGTGAGACATTAACAGTGGCAGAAACATCTGCTGAATACAGAGATGGATCTGGAATGATTTAGTAGTGTTTGCTTTGGTTTAGATTAGATTTTCTGAAGATACTTTGCAGGTTTTGCCCTATCATGTCAGACATTTACATTTCGCTTAATTGTTTGGCATATTAATACAATTCATTGGAAAATCAAGCATAAACATCCCATATATCTATGACTGTCACAGCCATATTAAACTAGGTACATTTGAAACACATGTTATCACATGTTATGGCATTCAGACTGCAAAGACATTTTGATAGAGATAAGAACTTACCTTGTCCTCATCATTCATGGGAAACAGACATTCGTCGATGGTGTCATTAACATTTTGAGCCAACTGAAAAAAAAAAGAAGAAAAGGAAATCACGCTTTAAAATGTTTGGGCAAACTCATCAATCTTCAATTTGTACAAAATTCAACCTTGACAAGTTCCATAAGCCAGTGAAGTGCACCAAGGAGCACTGGCCATGTGTGAGGTGAGCCAACATTGGATAATGATGTTTTATGAATGGTGAAGGGGTAACCAAGACTCTTGAAGATTTTCGGTACTTCCTCCTCTGGTTTTTCTTTTAGTTTTTTATATGTGTCCGTTGGACTGATATGGCTATAAAGGAACTGTAAAATACAACTGCAAAGTAAATTGAAAAGTTCATAGAGATTTCAGGCTCGGTAGGTCACAAACATTGTGTGAATTATGTTATACATTGATTACTAGAATGCAAATTGGAATATTTGTGATATGATAGCAATATGATGTTTTATATCAATGCTGCATCATATTAATGCTGTATTTGTTTCGATTGGATGCCCAGAAGCTGCATATAAATACTAGTATCAATTTGATTGTAAGACAGGATGTATGTTTTCCAGAAAAATTTGAATATATTTTCTCAACTAATACACACACTGGTCACCAACGTGAATTGATTCAACAGAGATCAACATACTAACGGAAAATACTTTCAGGAACTCTTTGCTCGTTGGAATCGTCATTTTCTTCATGGAGATTGGATACTGGTAATCGTTGACCGAAAGAAACTGAACAGACAAAACAATTCAAAAACTACTTTTACCATAATGCCGACATTTTAGCAAATACCTGCAATATGTCTTGTATTTCTTGATGCTGATAAGCTGAAAGATAAATGGCAATACAAGTAACTTAACTGATGAAAATTGCTGTTTGTTAAATTGAAGATAAAGCATAATCTCACATTTATCACTAAGCGGTCTGGAGTCTTTTATCTGCATGTACGATTCACGTCCATATTGACTTGATTTTCTGCTAAAATTCAAATGAAAAAGCACACATAACTCCCACAGTATTCACAAGAAGAAGTTCCTGTAGCACCAAGAGATAGTAAGCCAACAAAACAAATAGTTATGTTAACAACGTACTATACTGCTAATATACGTTATGGTACAAACATTTTAAATCCCATAAAGGAAACCTGCTAGCTCCAAAGATGTTTTCGGACGCGATATGCCTGACAACCTTGCACCAGTATTAGAAAGACGATCGCCCTGACTAATCGTGGGTTTGGTTTTGTAAGTGTCGCCGTATAAAGTCGCTCATTGTGGATTCATTTATTATTCATTTAGATAGCCATGAAGATTAAGAAATAAATGGCTATCTTAATCTTCATGGCTATCTTAATCTTCATGGCTATCTTCTACAATCCTGTCGATTTCTTCATTGGAAAGAACGCAGGAAACCTCGGGAATAGCACTCCTCATTTTCACAGACCATTCCTTCGTGTTCTTTTGAACTTCTTTAACACGATTCTATGCGAGGAAAGCAAGCTCTTTTACGATTTGGCATTTCAATAAAAACCACGAGTTTTTTTTAATTCATTACAACACAACAAAAATACAACGCATGCGTCGATTGGTTTGCTTAAGTTTCATTAGGGAGCTTCAGCAAAGAGTACGAATTACGTCATTTTGGCGCGAAAACATTGTGACATCAACAACTCGTAGCCGTCATCAATCTGAGTACGATATCTATGATGTCTTTTAAAGAAACGAAAGTAGGTATATTTATTTATTGTGCAAGAACTTAGTTTACAATACTTTTTTTGACCTTCCAAGCTTTATTTCAGTATCTTTTTATGAACGCAGGTTTACAATAAAAACGAAAATACGACCTGCAAAACTTCCATGTATCTGGGACGCAAAGTGAATTATAAAAAGACAATAAAGTAATGCAAATATACAATCTATAAAAGGTAGAATAATGAAGATTTTTCTCTCTAAACAGTCCTATACCCACGCTAAATCAGTATTACGAATTCATCGATATTATTATTAACAAATAGAGCCGTAGCTGCTTCTCAAAATGCTTTTTTTTTTCACAGGAAAAAGCTCGTTCTGTTGTTTACGGCTAAAACAACCATTTGACGACGCGACACCGACCACGAACTTCCTCGTGCCATTCCCTTACACGGTCAAACTTCGTACACGTAGTCGTACTCTTGCTAAAGTTCGCTATTAAGTTGAAGATTTTAAGTTTCAGTTGAGCAGATTAAGTTTTCATTAGTCTGTGCAAACCAATCTGTGATCAATCAATTAAATCAATTAAAGAGAATGTTGCAAATCGATCATGAATACATTAATGAGGGGAGGAGAGGGGTTGGGTGTGGGGTTAAGACATTTCCTTGAAATTTTGTTTGGCATTATTGTTATTTTATAAAAGAAAAGAATTTTTCCGTGTTTACACAGGTTTATGCAAACCACAGAGACGTTTGTAAAAACTCTCGAGCAGGCTCAAACACGGCAAATATCTTTTATGATAAATAGAGGTGAAAAAAAACATTACCTCTATTATAGTCTTGTGTTTCAGAACACGCTCACACCCATTACGTAAAAATGATTTTAAAGATTCTTCTTCACGCTTCAACTCTACTTCTGTTGATTTTAATCTTTACATAATTGAGGTAACATAAAAAATGAAAATATCACGATTATTTGAAGTAAAATTCATGATGAAATCCCGTAACAGTCAAAATGAAACATGCTCATAATTACTTTCTCCTCAAAATACCTTTCTTTGGCATCCTCGAGTTTCTTTCGTTTTCCCGACATTTCAGTTTGATTATCCAATCTCAATCGATCTATCAGATTACGCTGATCTTCAATTCCGTCGGACAAAATTTTTAATTCTTCGTCGTTTCGCATTCAATCCAGCAAATAGCGTCTAATTGACGCGTTTCAAGCAGCAGATTACGTTTCCTCCGTAATTTGCTGCTTGAAACGCGTCAATTTGGGCTGAAAAAAAATCCATGGATGGTTATTCGCCTCTTCCTCGATGACGAAAAAACGGAAACTTTTCGTAATGGCCAATGAACGGCGAGCAGATCTGGACATGAGAACGCCCGCCGTTAGCAGGCTGTTTTGCTTACCCCAAAAACCAATTTTGGTTACTCAAAAACCACAGTAACGAGTTTTACGCTAATTTTACATAGAGATTACAGACCTCTTACCTCTAAATTTCTAATAGGTATTTAGTACCTAGATATTGTTGAAAAGAAACCAAAACCAAAATTTCATTGAAACCAATTCAAAGCAAACATATTGAGCTATAAAAACATTGCTGTAGTTCAACAACGTACATTTCTACACCACTGAATTAAATATATCAATCGTATAATTCTATTGCACGTGTAAGCCACGTGTTACCACAAAATCTCTCGCAAAAAATCGCGTCAGGTTACGGCAAAAGTTCCTTTGCGGTAACGCAGCGGTAATATGGTTCTTTTTTACCACAATTCCGGAAAGCCAGGTCAGCACACCGCAGTATTTAGACAACATGACACAGGAAGAAGCATGCCATTATTAGAGATGTACGTTTGCAGAAGAAACAGCTCAATATTTTTCTTATTATTTTAACCTAATATGTAATTGATATAATCACGTGTAGACATTCCTAAAAAGCTGGTTTGAGGACGAACTAGAATTCCAGTGCACGCAGCATGGCTTTTGATCGCGTCAAACCGTCCACTCGCGTAAGTACAATGTAATTGCAATATTGACAAACCGTTAAATGACCTCGAACATCCAACGACAATCTACCACCGCTCAACTGCAGCTCGTAATCATTGCCACAGGCGTTTTCAGCTGAGCTTGGGATTAGTTTTACCTTACGACATTTTTCGTTATAATGCTCAACTTTTTCAAGAACCTGCCAAAAGGCAAAACTAACAGTCGTGAGACTATCACGAAACAACTCATTTCAAACAGAGAAAACAAAAAGGACAAAGAATCTGTTCTAAGCGGTGTCCCAGTATGGACGGAGTGATGTTGTGGGGAGGGAGCAATAACTTTTAAAGACTAAAATGCTTGCCTCAATTAATAGATATGAAACCTGCATAATGTACACCTTCTGTCGTTCTTAACTATGACTATTTGATAGAGTTCTGTACTATTACGGTGTTAAACCTTGACTGGTTTGCAACTTTTGTTCTGGATAGAATGTGATGGGAAATCTCATGCTATAGGGAGAAGGCACCTCGATATTAACCCCTATATAAATTTCCCGCCAGTGGTTGTTGTCAGTAAATTTCAAATATACCTGCTCGTATCTGCGCGCATAATTCATTTCGGTCGCCCATATGTTTTCATCCAGCGTATCTCTTCTTTCATATGTTTTCATCCAGCGTATCTCTTCTTTCATGGACTAAAAAAACTCCATGAAAGAAGAGATACGCTAGATGAAAAACTCCATGAAAGAATATTCTTCTTCACGCTTCAACTCTACTTCTGTTGATTTTAATCCTTACATAATTGAGGTAACATAAAAAATGAAAATATCACGATTATTTGAAGTAAAATTCATGATGAAATCCCGTAACAGTCAAAATGAAACATGCTCATAATTACTTTCTCCTCAAAGTACCTTTCTTTGGCATCCTCGAGTTTCTTTCGTTTTCTCGACATTTCTGTTTGATTATCCAATCACAATCGATCTATCAGATTACGCTGATCTTCAATTCCGTCGGACAAAATTTTTAATTCTTCGTCGTATTGCTGAGAAGAATCAATGATCAACATTCACGTAGAGATAAAGTTTAGACTAAATAAACTTGTCTTGTTTAAGCATCAGTAGTACTTTGCTCATGAAAAAATGAAGTTACAGTAAAAATAAAATGTCAACAATCTCTCAACATAAAGAAAGAATGATAAAAAAAGTAACTCACCCCATTTCTAAAGAACTGAAACGTATACTAGATCATAAATGCCTCAGAAATTTTTAATTCTTCGTCGTATTGCTGAGAAGAATCAATGATCAACATTCACGTAGAGATAAAGTTTAGAAAATGTCAACAATCTCTCAATACAGCAATACTTGCAATACAGCAAGTATTTCAGGCAGACGTCAATTTGCAAAGGTAAACAGTTTGAAAATCCTGTACCGAATTGAAAATTATACGAAAAACATTTTCCGAAAGTGGATTACTTTGGAATACGCGATCAAAAAATGTAGACAAATGGAACGCCAAAAATGTTTCAAAAACTGATCAAAGCGCCACATTCCATCGGAAGTGACGCTGCCACATTATAAACCGCGTTCGTGTGCAAGTCACTGATAAAATAAAACAGTAACAGTCAAAATGAAACATGCTCATAATTACTTTCTCCTCAAAGTAAACTTCAGTCAGTCGATATATTTTGTCAGAAGAAAATAAGTACTATACCCTACCCTTAGCGTTCGCATAATTTACAAATGGACTTATACATGGACGCTAATATAGCGGGGGAGGGGGTGAGGCAGAAGTATTGCATGGACTATATTATACGTACGTACGTACTGAAGTGATCTATAAACATTACCCAAGTAAATGGGCTTATCTAAGGGTCAGCGTATAAGCGGTAGGGTTTTTCTGTGAAAGTGAGTTGAGTTTCACGATTGGGGTGACCTAACTGGACATACTCAGGATGGGGCTTGTACATTGGAGGGGTAGTTCACCCTACGCAAGTGTAAGAGGATGCCTCAAGACACCACACTGCACTTACTGAGATCATTCAATTCTTCTTCGTTCTGAATTTTTCTTTCCTCAAGTTTGAGACGATGCTTCTCGAGATCAGTGATGTAGGTGTGAATTTAGTCCTAGAATCGACAACATCCCAGTACATGTTTCCACAAATTAATACAACGTAGATGGTGGAAGCAAGATCACGGTAAATCTTCTCTTACTTGTGAGCTCTAGTGTTCTCTTTTGTTCCACTAATGCTTCAAGCTTTGACTAGGTTAAGTATGAATATGTTAAGACTGTTAGTTACACATCTATCAACTGTGAAAAGATGGAGATAAAGGGAGGTAAAAGGGGAGGGTAATTTCAAAGATAATATGAAATACAAAAGTATGTATTTATAAAAGTGGAAGCGACCCACACCCCACCCCCCCCCCACCCTACCAAAAAGGATGAATGACAAATTTCAAACACGTAGCTCACTTTAACAAGATGCACCTTTAAAGGGATGAACGTGTATGGGAACATTTGTGGAAAATCCTTTAAATTAATTTTGGACAAATGAAGCTCCGTGCAAGAAAAATCACAGTACGAGTTTTGGCCAAATAATCTGAATGAAAATCGGAAAACCGAGCCATTCCTAGGATCGAGCCAAATTATGTCATAAATTATGTCACAGTAATTTTTCACAGTGATGGAGCTTCACCAGTGGCCAAAGTTTTGGCTCTGAACAATTTATATGAGCGATTTTCCAAAATGTTCACACATGTACGTAAAAGTACCCAACCGTTTGCGATTATTTTGCTCACACTCACATTTAGAAATAAGCAATTTGAAGTTCTCAAAATTTCACGACACAATATCTTTCCTACCGGTTCACTTTCAAGTCCGCCAGTTCTTCCTCCAGTAGCTTGTTTTCGTGACTCAGCTCTTCGTTTTCTGGAATATGAAAATCATAAAATTGTACATTACAAAGTGACGATGCACATAATTTTTCAACAATACACTTACCAGCAATAAGTGGAGCATTCTTGTTTCCTACATTAATAGAAACAGATACATGCATAAATCTTGTAGGTCACTACCAAAGGTTACAGGAATTGATGCAATGACAACTTCACTCACTCAGTTCTTCATATAGTGCTTCTGTGTACTCATCCAGATTATCTAAGTCTTGACCGTAAATAAGCGCTTGTGCGCTTTCTCAAGGTAATCAAAATACAACTGTGGTAACAAGACAAAGGTGTACATAGTGAGACATTAACAGTGGCAGAAACATCTGCTGAATACAGAGATGGATCTGGAATGATTTAGTAGTGGTTGTTTTGGTTTAGATTAGATTTTCTGAAGATACTTTGCAGGTTTTGCCCTATCATGTCAAACATTTACATTTCGCTTAATTGCTTGGTATATTAATACAATTCATTGGAAAATCAAGCATAAACATCCCATATATCTATGACTGTCACAGCCATATTAGACTAGGTACATTTGAAACACATGTTATCACATGTTATGGCATTCAGACTGCAAAGACATTTTGATAGAGATAAGAACTTACCTTGTCCTCATCATTCATGGGAAACAGACATTAAATCGATGGTGTCATTAACATTTTGAGCCAACTGAAAAAAAAAGAAGGAAAGGAAATCACGCTTTAAAATGTTTGGGCAAACTCATCAATCTTCAATTTCAATTTGTACAAAATTCAACCTTGACAAGTTCCATAAGCCAGTGAAGTGCACCAAGGAGCACTGGCCATGTGTGAGGTGAGCCAACATTGGATAATGATGTTTTATGAATGGTGAAGGGGTAAGCAAGACTCTTGAAGATTTTCGGTACTTCCTCTTCTGGTTTTTCTTTTAGTTTTTTATTTGTGTCCGTTGGACTGATATGGCTATAAAGGAACTGTAAAATACAACTGCAAAGTAAATTGCAAAGTTCATAGAGATTTCAGGCTCGGTAGGTCACAAACATTGTGTGAATTATGTTATACATTGATTACTAGAATGCATATTGGAATATTTGTCATATGATAGCAATATGATGTTTTATATCAATGCTGCATCATATTAATGCTGTATTTGTTTCGATTGTTGGTCTGGGTTATGGCAGATAATTCACTGCGTGCAGAATTTATAGCAGAGTAAGATAGCCCTGAATGAAAAAGGTTAGTTAAAAATTGAATGATTGTGGTAATAGAGGGATTAAAAAATTCACATTTTGTAGCAACACAAAATTGACTCCATTTAGTTATATAAGTTTTGTATTGGGTTTTTGTTCCCTTTCTCCAAGAGGCCATGATTATCTCTGCTGAACTTGGAGAGACACCTATTGATGTAAGTTGTTGCCTGACACAAGACATATTTTCAACTCTAGCTTTTTTACTAGTGGATGCACTTCTGTTGGTGCAGCTGGTAGTTTGAGCAGGTTTTGCGACGGTGGACAAACATGAGGAGGTTGTAAAAGTATTGGTTGATTAGGGATACCAAGGTTGTGTTGGCCAATTTGGTATTACCAAAATGCCAGTGGCTTTTCCTGTAGAATTTTTGAACAGTTTGTAAGATGCAGCTGAAAGGAGGGAAACAATAAAAGTTTAAGTTTTTCCACGGGATGGAGAAGCATCAATATATGTTGCCTCAGGGTCTGGTCGATAAGAGCAGTATTGATTAAACTGTTTGTTTAGTCGTGAAGCGAATAAGTCAATTTCAGGCTGGAAATTAAACTTGCTCATGGCAATCTTGATACAAACGGGATTTAACCTCCATTCACCTTCACGGTACAATTTTCTTGACTCTTTATCCGCAATTACATTTTTTGACCCTGGTAAATGTGCGGCAGATATTTTGATTTTGTGTATTATGCAAAATTCCCAGATTTCTAATGCTGTAGTATTTAACATGACACTATGACTAGTGCCCATATTGTTTATGACAAACACTGCAGTACTATTGTCTACCATCTGGTATAGATAGAATGTATTTAAAAGAGTCCTTTAAATTTTTTAGCCACCATTTCAACTCTGCTTTGGATTCATCGGAAATAATCACAAACGATTCAAAATTGCCTTTGTTTTGTGATAATGCTAAAGTTTTATCTTTCTCAAGCTTGATAGTAAAGCGGTCCAAATTCCACTGCTGGAAGGCTTGATACTATATGGCCAATTACCTGAGCCACCTTTCTAATCGAACTTTAGCGAGCTAGAATTGCTTTAATAAGGGAGAGCAATTTTTCTTTTTTACTATTGGTAAGTTAAATTGTCATGGTTCGTGAATTTATTAAAAAACCAAGAAAAGTTATTTCTTGTACTGGAATAAATGCAGATTTCAATGGGTGAATGACAAAACCGAGCTTCTCTAATAAAATTAAGGTTTGTATAATTGTGTCAAGGCACTTTTCATAGGAACAGCCTACCAGGAGTAAATCATCGATGTATATAATGACAATGTGACCTATTACGTAATGTGGCCAGAACTGGTTTAAGTAGCTTAGTAAATTTCCTCGGGCAAGAGGAGAGGCCATTAGGAAATGCTGTATATTGGTAAAATTTTCCTTTGTAAAGGAATTTTAAGAACTTTTGAGATTCTGGATGGACAGGTACGCTATAGTAGGCATCCTTTAAATCTAAAGAGGCCATCCAGCAATCTTTTGTGATAAGTTTAAGTACAGTGTGGATATTTTCCATCTTAAAATGAAAGTTTTCGACCGATTCATTTAGTTTCTTTAAATTTAAAATCAGTAGGACACCACCATCCTTTTAGGAGTGGTAAAGATAGGTGATACAAATTCAGTAGAATCAAATTTACTAGGAACAATTACTCCTTTATCTCTCAATGCCTGAATAGCTTCATCGATTTAGCTTCTTCCTTGTTTAGGAAGAGAGTGAGGAGGAGACTGGTGCTGAACTGGTTTAAAACCTTTAAAGAAATTTTTGCCCTGAAACCATCTCAAGAATATCGGGTCTGTAGTAAGCTTTGCCCATTCATTGTGGCATAGTTTAATTGGACCAGCCTGAAATGAATTAACTTTTCTGGTCAAATAAGGTTTAAGTACATGCTCAACAAATTCTGAAAATTGTGTTACCTGATTTTTTAATAACTCTAGTTCTTTGTGAATGTTTGGGGTTTTCTGGGAGGGAACTGTGCCCTCCCTTGTTGGTATAAAAAAGGCTTGCGTGCCTGTGATTGGGTTGAAAACCGTTTTGTAAAATAGTTTGTGCCCGTTGGCCTGGATTGGGTATAAGATTCATTACTCTCATTCCCAAACAAAGAGGGCCCACTGCGAGTCCTTGCACAGAAGCGGTTTAAAATCAGGATGAAGTATGGGCGAATTGCCTCTTTGCGCTTGTATGAAAGTTCTTTGCATACATGGCCAAATAAAGCAGTTACATCAAGCAGTGTTGGTATAAGAGCTCTATAATTTGGAATTGTCTTATTTTCCCTGCATTGTAAAAGGTTGTCAATGCTACAAGCAAGCCCTGATAAACCTTTGATGGTGGAATCTTGTAGATTCGCCATTTTGATATCCCCTTTTTTAGTAAATGGCTTCATTTTTTGCCATATTTCTTGATTTATTCTCGGCACATACATTTGCTCGCAATTTTTTGGTCGAGGGTACTTAAAATTTCTTTTAATTTGGTAACGTCAAAATTTTCGCTAAGCTTGGCGTTTATGATTTTGCCAATTTTTCTGAAATGGGGGCCCGGTTGCTCCTTAGAAGATAGTGTTTGAGCAATTTCAGAAATAAGATCATCGTTATCGACCGTGTTTTCAATTTCTGAATCAATTTCTGGTCCTCCGAATAAACTCAAAGTATCGTCTGATTCATGCACAATCTCAGAGTTTCCCTCAGTACTTTCAGACTCAGGACTTTGCTGGTCAAATGAGCGGTCATTGCCGTCAGAATTGTGCCCAGACTTTGTGGCAATTTTTGCCCTCTTTGGGGCCGAGTGCTCATGCTGTTCGCCTTGTTCGGCTTCGTCTATTATCAATAATTCATTGTTTTCAATAGACGCACGTGGTCGCTTTTTGGCGGCATTATGCTCGTCAAATATACCTTTCAGATATTTATTCGTTTCTGACATGTTAGCCTCCATAGCCGAAAGCAATGAGTATAAACGTGAGTCACCGCTAGTGGGAGCACTATCAGGCCGTTGCGGCGCGCTGATTTCATAAAATTCAGACACGGCGTGCTCGTCATCGGTTAATGATTCGGATGACATACTTTAATTGTTTCTATATAAATGGGGCAAAAGTTATGAACAATAACGTAAGGAAAACGATAAACTTATCTGTAATTAGCGATTGTATCCTTTTAGAAGATCCTGTGAAATTGTATTATGGATGGGAAGGATTATAATGAATAAATATCCTTCCTAAATTTTTCCGTAGCTTCGCTTGCGACAAGACGTACACAACTGGCTAACTTGCGCATGCGTATGTTCTCTCTCGTACAACTCTGACACGACCATAGCTGATGACGTAGTAGAATCATTACAACACAACAAAAATACAACGCATGCGTCGATTGGTTTAGTACGAATTACGTCATTTTGGCGCGAAAACATTGTGACATCAACAACTCGTAGCCGTCATCAATCTGAGTACGATATCTATGATGTCTTTTAAAGAAACTAAAGTAGGTATATTTATTTATTGTGCAAGAACTTAGTTTACAATACTTTTTTTGACCTTCCAAGCTTTATTTCAGTATCTTTTTATGAACGCAGGTTTACAATAAAAACGAAAATACGACCTGCAAAACTTCCATGTATCTGGGACGCAAAGTGAATTATAAAAAGACAATAAAGTAATGCAAATATACAATCTATAAAAGGTAGAATAATGAAGATTTTTCTCTCTAAACAGTCCTATACCCACGCTAAATCAGTATTACGAATTCATCGATATTATTATTAACAAATAGAGCCGTAGCTGCTTCTCAAAATGCTTTTTTTTTCACAGGAAAAAGCTCGTTCTGTTGTTTACTGCTAAAACAACCATTTGACGACGCGACAACGACCACGAACTTCCTCGTGCCATTCCCTTACACGGTCAAACTTCGTACACGTAGTCGTACTCTTGCTAAAGCTCGCTATTAAGTTGAATATTTTAAGTTTCAGTTGAGCAGATTAAGTTTTCATTAGTCTGTGCAAACCAATCTGTGATCAATCAATTAAATCAATTAA